AAAGCTGGCATGCATAGCTTTTCGTCAAATAAATGTGTCAAAGATTTGGAACTTATGCTTGGGCTATCAATAATCTCAGCTTGGTTTCAATAATCAATACCAGATTAAATACAAGTTACAGTGTTTTTATTTCTTAAGTGCTTGTCATAGGGTTTGGTCATGCCCATGAGACTACTCGATAGCCAAAACCGCTGATCTCAGAAATTAACCCTAGCCGAGATACGGCAAACAGGTGTTTTGGGGTCTCTTTTCTCATTTTTTCGTCAATTTTAGGCAATGTTAGCTGCTGTTTTTCAGGTTGCAAATGAGTACTTATGAAACGAATGATGATTCGATATATTAGGCTAGGTAGTAATGTTTCAAAAAAATGAAGAAAGAAAAATCTATCTTTCCACTCAGGGGTGCCATTTGGTTGTTCCTGAAGTGTATAAATCAAACCTTATAAAGAACCCTAACTTTATGCCGCGATATCTCCACTGCCGCGGGGTCCTATGAATTCTTTTTGTGGTTGTTAGTAACTGGGTATCAGGTCTCTCGATTAAAAAAATAAAATTTCATATATGTCTATAACTACACTCTCAAAAATAGTGGGTAATTTTGACAAAAATCGGATAAATTCGACAATTTTACGAAGCTTTATCCCCAAGATTATCAAACTGATATTCAAACAAATGTAGTATAATACAGACACCTTCACAGCTGCTATGTTTTCGCAACATAATGTTCGTATGACAACTCTTACTGCAACTGGAAGTGAAAATTTGCTAAAATTCGCATTATTTCACTTATAAATCTCTTGATATGTACAGATCTCATTATAAGCTGCAGTTGATAGATCTGTCATAGCTCACAGTAGTCATTGAATAGTAAAATGTAGGCCTAAATCCTCAAGATTGGAAAATAAATTCTACACTTTAAAAAGTTTCAGGTCAGCACGACTAAAAAGACAAGATTTTGTCTTTTCTTTCAATTTTCAGGACCGATGTTATCTTTACCTCTACCTGCGACCAACGAGTTAATCATCTATATTTAGACTATACCCTACCTACAAGTAGTAGTCCTACACTCTAAAGCCCGGCTCAGATCGACCTTGCGACGCGACTCAACTGTCGGCGACTATCGTAGATTGCACTCAGATCGAATTCAGCAATGATCGCCGACCAGTTGCTATACATTTCATGGAAAGTAGGAGCAAAGAATTAGCGTGCTCACATCGACACCGATACACCGACTTGTGGCTAGACTCAGATCGACTAGAATCGGCAACGGAAATCATGCGACGATCGGCGGCAGTCGCCGGAAAACCAGTCTGCGACCATTTGAGTCGCATCGTAAGGTCGATCTGAGCCCCCCTTTAAAGTACGGTGATCATCAACTTCACAAAAAGCCCCAAAAATAAACAAAAAACTTTTTTTTTTTTCAATTGGCTTATTGTAGCAATAGGTGTACGTATATATCAGAATATCGAACAGCAACTATTGGTACTAGTAGTTGATTAGTTTTATACATGTTGGTCTAACTCATAACATTTTTTATAACTTGTACGTAAAGCAGAAAGCGCAGATTGCTCTCTGAGGTAAGAATATAAAATCGCAGATTAAATACTAAATTGGGCAATGCCCGTTATTGACCTGGTGAGTCAATCCTTAATCTTCACAAAATATCAAATATATACAAAATTTACTTTCAGGAGGGAATACTAATCCTTACAAAATATCACATATGAACCCTCACAAAATATCAAATGTAATACAAAAACTACGTTCATAATTTTTCACAATATATCAGAGACATTCAATGAATCCTTTCCTTACAAAGGACGATGTTACTATCATTGACAAATAGTAAATATCAGCGGGACGATGTTACTATCATTGAAAAATAGTAAATATCATCAGGAGTGCAGGACGGTTTTATAATCATTGACAAATAGTAAATATCAGTAGAACGGTGTTACTATCATTGAAAAATAGTAAATATCAGCGGGACGATGTTACTATTATTGAAAAATAGTAAATATCAGCGGGACGATGTTACTATCATTGATAAATAGTAATTATGAGCAGGACGGTGTCATTGAAAAATAGTAAATATCATCAGGACGGTGTTATAATCATTGACAAATAGTAAATATGAGCAGGACGGTTTCATTGAAAAATAGTAAATATCATCAGGACGGTGTTATAATCATTGACAAATAGTAAATATCAGTAGAACGGTGTTACTATCATTGAAAAATAGTAAATATCAGTGGGACGATGTTACTATCATTGAAAAATAGTAAACATGAGCAGGACGATGTTACTATCATTGACAAATAGTAAATATCAATGAAACGCTCCCTCAGATATCACCAGTAATCACTCTTAGTATTTAGCGTCCGCATAATAAATCCACTGCTACCAATGATAGATACCGTCTGATGTATTTAGTACACTCTTTCAATAAAACATGCTCAGTCTCTTTAGGACACACAGTGAAAACGCTGCATTTTGAAGTAGAAAACTGCGAAAAACCGCATACAGCAGCCACCATCTTGGATGGCTGGATACCAGAATTGATAGTTTTGACAGAGCGGGTTCTACGACTGCCTGAGTGGGTTCGGAACGCTAGACTGTCAATTGCCGATGGTATCGAGTCGTTTAGCGTCCATATTTTGTCACTATATTGATTAGAACATATAAAAATCAGATGATCCAATATCAAAATTGTCAAAACTTAGACAATGTTATCGCGCATGCGTATGAAGATATATGAAATTTTATTTTTTTAATCGAGAGACCTTGTACCCGTTTACTAACAACCACAAAAATAATTCATGGGACCCCGCGGCAGTGGAGATATCGGGGCATAAAGTTGGGTACTTTATAGGGTTCGATTTATACCCTTCAGGAATAACCAAATGGCACCCCTCAGTGGAAAGATAGATTTTTCTTTTTTCATTTTTTTGAAACATTACTACTTAGCCTAATATATCAAATCATCATTTGTTTCATAAGTACTCATTTACAACCTGAAAAACAGCAGCTAACATTGCCTAAAATTGACGAAAAAATGAGCAAAAAGCCCCCAAAAACACCTGTTTGCCGTATCTCAGCTATGGTCAATTTCTGAGATGGGCAGTTTTGGCTATCGAGTAGTCTCATGGGCATGACCAAATCCTGTGAATATGAATGGAATCGGCCGACCCCTCACCTTCCCGATTTCTGCATGGTTTTCTCGTGGACTGGCACTTAATACAACAATGGTTTCACTAATCACTAGATTAAATACAAAAATCACCGATCAATACAGATACAGATTAAAGAATTTCGGCTTGGTTTCACTAATCAACAAAAGGTAAGTAGCGGTGTTTTGGCGATCAATTATCGTAAATAACCTAAACTTACCCATCAAAATACAGATTAAATGCAATAATTGCTGATCAGTTAAATAAAACAATAATATTGGTTTTACTTCAAGTTAATTACGTATGGTCTGTATAGGATAAATAAACACAAAAGGCAAGTATTAATTTCTTTATTATTGTGATGGGCGCCGATCAGTTATAAATAAAACAAAACACAAAAGGCAAGTAATATTGGTTTTACTTCAAGTTCAATTGCGTATGGTCTGTATGGGATAAATAAAACACAACTAACAATGTTTAATTTCTTTATTATTGTGAATGGTCTGTTTTTAGCCTCACCTAAAACGAAAGAAAAAACAGTTATTACAAATATATACATAGAATTTTTCAGATTTTTTTAAGTTCGAAACGTCACCAGTCCGAGTCCGAAAAGTCGTCTGATAGAGTCCGAAAAGTCGCCGAGTAGGTCTGAAAAGTCGCCTGAGTCCGATACGACGTTTGTGTTGAGTCCGAAATGACGCGGGACCGAAATGACGTGCTACCCCTTTCATAACATGTCCAGGGGCACTTTACAAAGTGACAATGTAATCATAAATAAACAAAAAGATTATGAACATGTTAATGATTGTATACAGAGTCAGTTAAAAGCCTGATTAAATAAATGAGTTTTAAGTTGTTTTTTTAAAAGAATATAGAGATGTACAACATCTTAAACTAAATGGTAGATTATTCCATAAAACAGGTGCTTGATAACTAAAAGAGTTGATAATAGTTTTTATTCAAAAATTTCATTGGTTATGTCACGAGTGGCTCCTGAAAATTAACTAAACAACTTACTACAAAAACAATTTGAGTAATCAAAGGCTCCAAACTTAGCGGAATAATTTTTTGTAAAATTCAGAATTTTTTTTATTCTCTCTATCGCCCGCTCTACTTTTAGAGAGTTCAAAACATCTCTAATATTGAACCCCCTATCTGCCATAATAACGTCACCTGGCACTAGATGATCCAAGAACCCTGATTTTAAAACAATGTCAATGTCTGATATAGATCCTTCAAACGTATCGCTAACAAACATAATGGCACCGTTTGGTGCAATGGCAATTAAAACTTTATACGTTGTGTGGGCTTTATAACTAGAATATAGATTACCCTGCCTATGAAAATTTCCTGGTCTCTGTGAAAAAAACTCTGTACAATCAATAATACACCGTATGTTCTTGTACTTTTTAAATGACAAGGGAATGTGTTCTTTGATTTGTTGTCTGGTTGCAAACATGTGCTCCTTGAGTGGGGTGAATTGTTTGTATAGAAACTGTATCCAGGTTAAGACTATACTAGATACCGTTGATGGGCTCACAGAAAATCTGAAGGCTAAATCCTTAGCAAGAAATCCTTGTCGCAGACGCATCAATGTCATTAACAGGGCATTCTTAGGTGATACGAGGTATTTAGATGTATCTCCAGATCCACGGTTCCAGTACTGCAAATGACATGCAGCTGGTTCTTAAAATGACCACAATTGCACAAACTGTAGCCATACCAAACCAGTATAAAACTTGCACTTTTCATCATTATTTTCAATTTGTTCTATACTAAATTTTGGCCTCCATTTGCTTAATTTTAAAACCGGTCTCCAAAAGTTCCACCTTGGAGATCAAAAGTTTATTCTCGTTTTCCAGAATTTTGTTCTGAAGACGTATACCAATATCCACTGACAATTCAGTTTCTGTTTGACATGCCACTCCACTGGCTTCTGTGACTTTGCTCATATCACTCTGTAAATATAACAAAGATTCTGTTTTAAAATGTACGTACATAGGCCTACTACAATGTATTTATTTTTTTAAATCTATAAATGTGAGAAGTAAATTAGTTAAATCCATTATTACCGAAACTAATTTAAACCATTACACAATTTATGAAAATTAATTTTTAAACAATGTATTTGTATATATTTTCTTGAGATTGATTTATTTAAGCTCTGGCTTGTTTTTAGATCTTATACCTATGTTGTTGTATCTTAATTAATAAATGGCGCTGGAAAAATGCCTCACACCGAAACAGATTGTTATTTTTACCTGTGTAAATTCATTCTCAATACAAGTTCTTTTCCTCTCCTTCCTCTCCATATTATCACCATCAGCCTGAAAAAATAAAATAAATAATACTGATGAATTATTCCCATAATTGTATTTCAGCTTCATAAATGCATGTAAAATGCATCACTTGTTTCACATGTTATTGGTGGTATTAAAATAAATAAATGGTATAGTAGTACACTGTAGTATAAATTACAATATTAAACAATGACTGAATGAGTATAACTTATAGTATAAGGCTTTAAAGGCGACTTACCTTGGCCGAACCGCTCAATGATAAAAGAATTGATGCAAGTTCTTGTGTATCTGTCTCAGTATCTTGGATAACATTATTTAGTGACTCTGAATCTTGGATGGTGTTATCTATATTATTCATTGGTAAAGGTGAAAGAACCAATCGTCTCTTCACTCTTCTTCTTGGTTTTTTCTCTAACTTTTCAACCTGAATAACAACAGTTTAAAAAAATTAAATTTCACATAAAGTATTTAATGTGATGGTATAAACTGGTGCCATAATTATTATCATTAGAATTGATTTAGGCCCACGTTACAACAGTCAACACGTTTAACGAGAAGCAAAAAAACAACAAAAAAACTTACATCATATTTTGTTGCAGTGGCTGGCACTGGGTCAGGGTGGTCTTCAGTTGGTCCTTTTCCTCCAACAAAATGAATACTGCATATATATGTATCTTTATTGACCTTGCACTCGTCGAATTTCTTTCTGCTACACGCTTTTACCCAACGGCTGCATGCATTTTTCCGGATCTTTTTTACTATGAGGCAAACGAATAAAAAATACATTCTGCATAGAAGGGCGATCGGGATATTGCGAATCACTGTTGCACGTGCCGTAACAACAATGTTTAGTAGCCCCTTTATAGATCTTTTCGACAACTGTTTCCATTATTGCGGTGAACCTAAAAATGTGTTTCTTTGTGCTTTAAACTGGCATTGTTTGTCCGAAACAACATGACGCCACGCGTAGTGACTTGTGGGTAAATGATGTCATAATCTATTTTTAGCACCGCAAACCCGTCCTATTAGTTTGCCCAGTGTCATCTAGAAAACTTAAGGCGTTTGTTTTTGTGTGAAATATTTAATTTCTGTCTCCCAATTTTAGAAACTATGTTCAGATTTAGAATCTGAGTATAGTGTCTAAAATTCTCGAATGAATTGCATATTTGTTGAATATCGTCCATTCTTCGGTATTGCCAACGTCCGTTGGGAAAAGTCAATTTACAATGAATTGACAATTTTCCCGGCGTAGATAAAACTCACATTTTATTTATTAGAAAATAACAAAACAATGGACGTATATCGTTACTTATAATCTTGCTTTCTGGGTTATTTACCCGCTTCCGCAATTAATAACAAATGTATTTGTGAATTTACAAATTAATGTGTGCAGTTCTTGTTTCGGCCACAATTGAAACGTCATTTTCGCCATTTATCTAGACGTCTTTGGGGGACTATTTTCGCCAACATTTAGTTTTGTATCCCCACCCCTTGAGAATGTTGAAGAAATACCGAAGGAGGGGAATTGCTAACAATTGTAGGTACAGTTTCCCCCCATTGAAACAGGCAAGGACCGCAAATAGTATCTAGTTTATAATTAGTCTTGTCACAATAAAATCGAGTATTTCTAATCAAAAAACAAAAGCAAAACAAGCAGGGTCCTTATAATATCTAATATCCAAATACATGGAAAGTTCCTCTACAAACTATATGCACATATATTGCACATAACACTTATTAGTTTACACACTAACATTCGGGATACCTCACATCCAAGTCTAAAACCTAATCCGCGTATTGTTTACAAACACAAAATATAAAAACATATTTACACAAAAATTCAAAATTTAATCGGCAATATCAGATTATATTCTTTGAATGACCTACTGCTATTGTTTTTTAAATGACAAATTCCAGTCATGTCCTAGCTGTCTCTGTTCCATCCGAAACCATAGCCTATGCCATCGCTTGGAATATGCAGTCATAAATGCTCGTCATTACAATTTAGATTATATTCTTTGAATGACCGCCTGCTTATATCACAAATTCTAGCCACCTGTCTCGGTTCCGTCTGAAACCATATCGCTCACCGACGTGTAATTACACCACCATCGCATGGAATATACAACAGCCATAAATGTCTGTCGTTAAATTCTTTGAATGGCCGCTACCTATTGTTTAATTAATCCCCTAATCCAGACACATGGTTTTGTAGTGAAGTATATTCGTGTTGTTATTTAATTGCCGTTATTTTAGATTTTTAGAATACTTCACTGATGTTTTTGTAATAAAGTATACTCGTATTGTTTGTTAATTGGCGTTATGATTTTAATGTTTAGACAACATTTAATTGACTTGATATGAAATCTGAACATAAATTATTAGATGGATAAATAAAAGGTATTTTACAATTACATATTGACAACTTAATCTCTCGCCAAAATACAATTGGATTGATATTATTTCGGCATCATAATTAATTTTAAAACTAATCGTAGATTTAATTTCCGCACACAAAATGGAACTAAATATAAGAATTCCGTATAAGAATCAATTTAAAATACCAAAATGCGAATCGAAACACATTGTGGTCAAAACTGTGTAATAAATTATAAAATAAATCATAAATGAATGGAATTTGTTGTAAGGTGGACACTGCATGCTTTCTTTTAACGTTGGGTTAATTGAGGTGCCAGGTAGTCTGAACAACTGAAGATAACACGTGTCGAAAAAGTGACTACGTGCAGTTTATTCTTTGATCTGTTATATCACAGGGCAATTCTGTTATGGTGAAACCAACCTGCAGGAAAGGGACTATATTACAAATTGAAAGTTTTGCATTGAGGATCGCTCGATTGTAGGCGATGTAATTTTAGTGAAATTGGAGCCGAGAATTGGCGTGTTCGGAAAATAAGCTAAAGCGTATGTAAAGGAAGACGTTGGACACAAGGTAATGTACGGACAATTGTCAATTCATTGTAAATCGACTTTTCCCAACGGACGTCGGCAATACCACAGAATGGATGATATTCAACAAATATGCAATTCATTCGAGAATTATAGACACTATACTCAGATTCTAAATCAGAACATAGTTTCTAAAATTGGGAGACAGAAATTAAATATTTCATACAAAAACAAACGCCTTAAGTTTTCTAGATGACACTGGGCAAACTAATTACAAGACATGAAAAGTAAACGACATTGCATTACTACTCACTCGTAAGTTACTAGACGGCTCTCGGTAAAGTGGTAATTTGGCGTAAAATCTAAACGCCTTAAATAATTGAACACTCTGTTCATTTCTTGACAATGTCCGGGAAAATAAACGCCTTGTCTAAAAACTAAACCCCTTTCAAATCTAAATGGTAGTGTTCATTTCTAGAAAACATCCTGAGAAACTGGACGGTCGTAAAGCAGATGATCGTTGTCAAAAGTAAACGGTGTTTCTTAATCTACACGTTAGCACAAACTGGTCGGTTTTTGGTGAATCTTGACGGCATTTAACATATTCTTGACGGCAATCTATTAGCTGGATACGTGTATTAAATTCTTGATGATAAGCTTAGTTTCTTTCCTTTTTTCGTAAAGTCTGGACGATACCCGGTCCCTAGTGTATGTACACTGCAACTTAATTTATATCATTAGGTTTGTATTAATTTAATCTATAAATACTTACAATGTGGAGACAATAACTACAACTTGTAGTTGAGCATTTGGTGCCACTTTACATATGAACTCGTCAAACTCCAAATCAGTGATGCTAGCAATATTATATCTACTACATCTACAATATACATTACTATGACCAAGCATACGCTGTCGTAACACAATAGGACAATTTTCACATGAAGTAAAAGAGAAGGTATTTCCTAATGGTACAAGCTGTGTTAGTTGAGTTGATGTTGATTTACATCTAGCTGAATGTGTTCTTGAAGAGCTGAAAAATGTATTTCCTACAAAATTATACTAATTCATAAACTAACAAGCCAACAGTGAGGCTGATGTGCCCCGCCGAAATCCCAAAATAAATAGATGCCACATATTAATTAATAGCACATTTATTTTTTTCAAAAGTATCAAGCAATCAAACTGATTATCAACTATACTCTCTATCAGATAGAATCAAAGTTATCTTGTCCCAAAGCATCGACCAATGAAATTGCTTAGCTCTGCCTAGCTTTAGCTCGAAATGTTAATCATTGAACTCAGTCAAGACATTCACCTAATGAACATCTACATCAAGTTTAAACATTCTACCTCAATTAACCCTTAACCGGTCGAAGTCATTTTGACGTCAATGGGTCAGGCTAAATAAAGTGAAATATTTTGTATGCCTATTTCTATCGACTACTGCTGGATAATTAATTATAAGTGATAGACTCTTGACACCAATAAAAAAGTTGAAGGGGATAAATTGATCTATAATTTGCAAATCATTCTAAATCATTTTCATCAGACATATCGTCTTCAGAATCGGTGTCATCGATATAATCCGAGTCAGAATCATTCATAGGCATTTCAACCACTTTTGAGAGTCTTAACCATGCCGACATCGTTAAATTACATTTTTTGTCAAAAAATGTTGAACAAAGACATGTTTTTCTCGATGCCCTTGACAAGACAAGTTCCTGTCCGACACGCTTGCGTGGTGATATCAATTAAATACGAAACTAAATACTCAAATGCGGCTTACAAAAAAGATTCTTGCTGTGGTCGACTTTAGTCGACCGTGACCACTTAGCTGTATAACGTTGTAGGGATTATAGTCGACAATGACTGGTTAAGGGTTAACAGTCGAGTTGTTATGTTTCAAAGTCTTGACCAATCAAATGGCTTATCGCTCCTTAGTCTAAGCAGAAAAAATTCTCATCATCAAACTTAGTGATGGTAATGATATAATGAATCTATACTCGGCATTTCATTACTCTCATTTAATTAAAACTAAAGTCATCGTGCCCCAAAGCATCAACCAATCAGATTGCTCATCTCTGCTTATCATAAGCAGACAATGTTCATCATCAAACTCCATCAAGGCATTCACCTAATGAACGCCTACACCAAGTTTGAACATTCTAGCTCAATTAGAAAGAGAGTTATTGTGTTCCAAAGTCTCGACCAATCAATTTACTTATCGCTCTGCTTACCCCCAGCAGAAAATGTTCATCATCAAACTTTGTCAAGGTATTGATGTAATAAAGCTATGCAGCAAGTGTCCTTACTCTCACTTAATTAGAACTAAAGTTATCATCTCCCAAAGCATCAACCAATCAAATTGCTTATCGCGGCTTACCCTAAGCAGAAAATTCTCATCTTCGAACTTCATC